GAAGCAGTGTGGAACACATTGTGTTCCATGTTGGGCGCTACTACCCCAAGGCATGGGTCAAGCATCACAACAGGTTGTTCACCCCGTCAAGTTTTCAGGTGCCACAGATGACACTAACGGGACATGCTGGACATTCCACCTTTGTGCTCAGGGGCATCATTGCACATCAGGGTGAAGAGCTCATTTCTGGGCACTACATTGCCATGTTGGTTGAAGGAGATGCCATATGGACGGTTGATGATGGAGAGTGTCCCCAAGTGCAACAGCATGTCCCTGACAGTATTCAGCAAGGAACTGTGATGATTTGGGCCTCCAGAGCTGACCATAGCAACTTCTGGACACGCACCATTGGCAAGTTTGAGCCTCCAGCAAAGCGTCCCAAGACATATGCAGGCAGCATTGATGTTTTCTATGGCAATGTCACCCAATGGAATAGGGATGTGAAGGATTGGCTCTTCCAACAAGACCTCCAGATTGCCATGCTGGTTGAGACTCATGTGCATGGCAAGAAACTGGAAGTGGCCGCCCATGAACTGGCAAGAAGTCGATGGAGGTTGGACGCACTGGAAGCATATGAAACTGGCAGAGGTGGCACCAGCTTTGACCACGCGGGCAATGGTTTCTTGGCGAATGTCCTCCAGAGGCAAAACTGGGAAGTTGTTCTGATTTCGATCTACCTCAAATGTGGGGAAGATCTCAACTCCACTGCAAATGCCATTGTGCTTGGAGCTCTGGCGGCCTTTCTTGAGGAGCTTGCAGTCCCATGGGTTCTTGTGGGAGATTCCAGGTCCCACCTGAACAGTGGCAGGGACACCAACTGCTGAATGTCCTGAAGGCAGAAGTGGTTCAGACTGGACAACCCACCCTGATCACTGGCGCTGAGCTGGATTATGTGGTGGCCAGTCGCAACATCTCTCCGTTCATTGACATCAAGGTCAATTGGGATGTTCCATGGAAGCCGCACGCTGGCCTGATTGTGTCGATAGATAGCACGGCACCAAGCCTTCGTCTGCCACAGATCACCCAGTATGCCGCTGTTCCCAGACTGATAAGCTGTCCGAAGCAATGGGAGGAATTTCAGCCACAGATGAAGCCATATTCTGATTGGTGCCACCGTGCTGAGCAGTATGCCCTCCAGAATCTACATGAACCACGCCTGGGCCGAGGATGGTATCTGGCAATTGAGCTCAAGCCCTTGCCTCAGACGAGGCCACTGACTCCGTGGCGGAAAGGGGATCTGGCGTACTGGGGACAGTTCTGCTCCCTACTGTCTCACATTGAGAAGAAGGGCAGCATCAGCAGTCAGGTGATGATGCACCTTAGAGCAAAGGCGGCAGATTTGGAGATGAGGTGGCAGCATGTTCATGGTGACGCTGCCTTCAAGGAGGCTTTGGAGGCGCTTCTCTCAGGGGAAGATATGCCCTTGACCCTGCTCATCAAAGGGGCTGATGCCAATCAAGAGTACGCCAAGAAGCAGGCTCTGCAGCAGCAATCTCAAGATTTCCAGGCATGGCTCTCGCAGGCCACACTCAAAGGACAGAGTGGGATCTACAAGTGCCTCAAGGCCCCTGATGCTGTTCACGTGAGGCCCTTTCGTAATGTGCCATTCCAGGACAGGCAACAACTTCGTGAACAACAATGGTATGAGCAGTGGCAAGTCCTGGAACAGCCACGAAGCAGTGTGGAGAGAGAGCGCCTACGGCAAGAGGGCATCATCCAGGCACGCACATGGGAGGATTTGGATTTTCACAAAGTGATGAAAAAGCTTAGCAAGCTGCCGCAAAAGGCCAGTGGCCCTGATGGAATCAGTTATGCCCTTCTGAAGAACTTGCCAATAGAGGGGGTGACAGATCTTTGCCACATGTATCGTCAGTGGGAGCTTTCTGGAAGGCTACCAGATCAAGTCTGCGCAACATTGATTGTGTTGCTTCCAAAGAAAGCAGAAATAGAGCGCCCCATCAGCCTGACGAGTGTGCTTTACCGCACCTGGTGCAAACTACGTTGGGACAAGCTCCGACAATGGCAAAGCACGATTGGCCAACGCTTGCCTTGGGAGAAGAGTATGCCTGGCATGCAAGTGTTGCACGTTGCCCTGATGCGCCTGCTCAAGTGTGAGGTCGGGAAAGCCATTGGCCGGCATGTCATTTCCCTCCTGGTCGACTTGCAGTGCTTTTACGATTCAGTGGCCCTCGAACGATTGTTGGGGTTATGGGAACCGCTGGATTTCCCACCTGCAGTGCTCAATATGAAGTGTACACGGGACCTCGTATGCTCCAGGCTGAACAAGTCACGTCCCGGCCAGTTCACTGTCGGAAGGGCATTTTAGCAGGATGCCCGGTGGCTCCTTTGATTGCCAAATTGGTCCTGGCCCCTGTCATCCAGCAGTTCCAGGAGGCTTTTCCGAGGGCAACAGTCGATGTATGGGTTGATGACATTTCAGTGGACTTTGTTGGCAATGATGCTCACGTCCTGTGTCGAGAAGCCCTCAATGGATATGAGAAGTTGAAGGATGGCCTGGAAGGTGTGGGTCTGCAGCTATCCAGGCAAGACTGGCTTTCTGACCGGCCCTCAGTCTCCTTCGTCGTGAGGAACAGCCTAAAGCCCACGACCTCCTGAAGGATCTTGGTCTGGACTCCAGCGGTGGCCGCCGCAGAAGAATTGGGGCACAACAAAAACGCCTCTTGAAGGGGCGAGGGCGCCAATCCAAGCTTCTGCACCTCAAGCTGCGCTCCAGGCCGGTTAAAATCAGAGTTTGGAAGACCTCCGTTCATGCAGCAGCGGGATATGGCTTGGAAGCCCAAGGGCTGGCACCGCAGAGGGTCAGGGTCCTGAGGCAGCAGCTGGCCAGACATGGGGGCTTACAGAAAGGAGGCAGTGTTGACATTGTCTTTGACCAGTATGAGAAGCTGCAGGACCCAAAGGACACCATAGTGGAACGGCAGCTCAAAGCCATGCACCAGCTTGTCAAAGCATGGCCGGTGGCCCAGTTTGGAGATCTGAAGACGGCCTGGCGCATCTCGTGGAAGCGGCTTGCAACAGCAGCGTATCCATGGATGGTTGTTGCTGGTCCCATGGCTGCCTTGCAAGCTTACCTCATGGACATGGGATGGGAGGCATTGGACTTGGATGATTGGGTTCGTGCACCAACGGGCATTTGGCCTGTTCACCAGCTGCAATTGGAGCGCCCATGGCCACACCTGCAGAGACAACTTCGGTTGGAGCAGCGCTTGCAGCGGGCACGGAGAATCCAAGAGCTGGAACATTGCTTTCCCATGATGCAGCGGCCTGACTGGACGGTTTTCCATCAGATGATGAGGAAGTTGCAAGGGACAGCAAAAGCAGCTGTGGCAACGTGGACGCAAGGATCCCTGCGCGCTCATGGAGGAGGAGAACGACAAATATGCCCCCTCTTCAATGTGCCTGTGAGTATGAAGCATTTGATCTGGGAGTGTTCCTACCATGAGAAGCCTCTACCCCTTGAATGGCAGCAAAACATTCGGGCAAATGAAAATGCCATGCTATGGGCCAGAGGCCTCATTGAGATGCCGGACTACCGGCCTGCAGTTGGTGTGGAGTCACTGGAAGTGCATGGCATCTATGCGCATGGGTGGCCGGTCCGGATTCCTCCCAACCATCGGCTTGCCATAGGGGTTCACCCCACTTGCAAAGATCCGAGGCTTCGTAAGCTTGTGGTGGTCATCACGGCTGGTTACTGGCAGGAGGACTCTTGGCAGACCACTGGCTTTTGCACCAGCCTTGCACCGGGAGAAGCGACGGAAGCTCGGGCGTGGTTCTTTGGGTGTTGGCTCATCCTCCAATCGACCCTTGGCAAGCATCAGGTCAATGTTGCCTACCGACCTCGTTGATCGGCCATTGCCAAAGGAGCTTCTGGCACTACTGCACCGGATTTGTGGCACAGCATTCCTGAAGGAGAATGGAGCAGGTTGACAGCTTTGCATGTGCCCAAGAAGATGCTCAAGCAAGCAGGGGATGACCAAAAAGCCTGGTTGCAGTTTATGGAAGCGAAGCAATGTGCCCAACTGAGAGCCTCGAGGGATGCGCCCAGTGCACAGGAACGTACCCTTCGGGAAGATGATGAGTGGCGCCAGGAGGTCTATGCAGTGGCTGCAGAAAGGATCAGTGCGATTCTTCAAGACCCTGACCACTATATGAAGAACAACATCAACAAAGTTGAGACCAGCTTCAAGGTGAGGCCAGAGCGGCCGCATGGGAGACTGGATGTCCTCCGCAGCATGATCAACATGGCGGATGGCCCGGGCAAGCACAAGTGGCAGGTCAAAGGCAAGGGCATACAGTGTGGCTTGTGTGGGCTCCACGTGAAGGGATGCCCAACGCATGCAGAAACCACTGCCAAACAAGAATCAGTATGCCCCGGAGAGAGAACAAAGACCCTTCAACAGATCATGGATGACATGATCAGTGCCTCGGATGAGCTTCCTGACGGCCATGAAGGGCATCGTTACTACTGCAAGTCCAGCTCCTTTGATTACAAGCGCTTCTGGTTGAAAGTCCCTCGAAGATGTGCCAAGGAGGCGCTTCAGAGGCTGGCAGACACCAAGTGTGAGTTTGGACCGGTTGCTGAAAATGAGTTGAACCTCCGAGTGCGAGTGCATCTGCAGCATGAGCTGGTCCAACGGCAGCAGTGGCTGGAATGCCTGAAGTGTCGTAAGGCATCAAAGATTGTTGACGGCAAGGTGCAAGCGTGGCTGGTGCATGAATGCCCAGGTGTGAGCACTCAGACGCAGCTCACCTTTGCACCTAGCTCCAGCAGCTAGGAGATGCCGGTTTGTTCAGATGGACTTGATGTCCTTTTAAGACTTGCAAGGCGACGGATCCTTGGGTCTTGCCATTTTTGGCCTGAGGCCATGGCGGAGGTGGACCTCCTGAGCACTAGGAGCAAAAGAGCCGAGAAAAAAAAAAAAGAAAGAGAAAGAGAAAGATAAAGAGAGAGAGAGAGAGAGAGAGGGAGGGCAGCTCAGGTGAGGAAAATCGCATTGGAGGTGTTGCTCTTCGTGATATGCCGGAAAATTTTGTCAGGGATGAAGCCTTGAAGGCGATTGACGTTGCCCGATCCTTTGGTTCACGTTTTCTGTTTCTCTCCGCCAATGTGGGCGGGACGACCAATCTTCTTCCTGTGCTCGAAGAGGCGGGCATGCTGGGGAGCAATTGGCAAGTTTTGGCCTCTGAAACGGCACTGTCCTTCGAGCGTTTTCCTGTTGGTTTTATGAGATGGAAACCAGTCAGCAGAGGTCTAAGGTTTGAAGCATTTCGAAGCCACTGGGCGAGAATGAGAGCCGATGATGTGGTCTCTGCACAATCAAGGGGCCGCTATAAGATTGACAAGTTTCGAATCAGTCTGGATGAAGCGGTTGTTCCGCCCATTGCAGATGCTATTTTTTCCGATGCGGATGCATCTTTGGATGTCTATTCCACCTTCTACTTTGATGCCTGCTACGCCTATGCTTTGGCTGTCAATGAGCTGCTGAACAAGGGCACTCCCCTTGCCGAAATAAAAGGCAAAAAGTTGCTGGACCAGCTACTTGTCACAGAGTTTGAAGGAACATCAGGGTTCGTCAGTTTTGATGGGAATGGTGACCGTAGGGCAGCCGCTTTCGAGTTGGAAAACATGCAGCCAGACGGTTGGAAGTTGGCAGGCATCTTCAGCACATCCAGTAATCAGTTGACTGTGGAGAGAGGCCCCTACTGGATGGATGGATCCAGAACTGGAGTTCCTCCTCCCGCTCTGATGAGCTGCCCTGCTGGCTACCAAGAAGAGTCGAGGCGCTGTGAGCCATGCCCACGGGGCTTCCAATGCCCAAATGGCTTGCCAGAACTGTGCCATAAAGGGCATTTCTCCAACGTCACGGGTTCCGCTTCGTGCAGTCCATGTGACAAGGGCAGCTTCTCAGCGGACTTGGGCGCGACCCAGTGCACGAAATGCGTTCCGGGATTCTTTGCCAACAGGTCCGGGATGGAGCTCTGCGAGCGGTGCCCAAAGGGAAGCTACACACCCTTCTCTCAATCAGAGTCCTGCATCGCCTGCAAATTTGGGCAAGTGACCGAAGAGAGCGGAGCACAATCCTTCTCAGAATGCCGTTGCGGCGCTGGTTATTTCATTTGCAACACCAGTGTACGGCCAGTTGGTTGTGTGCCTTGTCCTGAAGGTCTCCTATGTGAAGGTCTGGGGCTGCCTGTGCATCAGCCCGGGTTCTGGGCTTCAGATGTTTCATCTTGCAACTTCCGTGTGCTACGCTGCAGAGATGAATTGCAATGCCCAGGAGGTCGGCCTTTGGGCGAGTGCGCAGATGGACGTCAAGGGCTCGCGTGCAACAACTGCAAGGCGAATTATTTTCCACAGGATTCTGGCACATGTGCTGAGTGTACATCCGTCGACTTGCTTCCAGCCATCCTTGGTGGATGTATCGTGCTGAGTCTTTTCCTGTTGCGTCTCGGCTGCACCTCTTCCGCGAGCTCCGAACACCTCGGTTTGCTGAAGCGCTGGCTTTTCAAGGAAGGCTCTCGGAATTGATAGTTCCAAAGGACCGAGTTGATATATCACTACAAAGGACCGCTCCCCTACTTTGCGCGATAGAATCAATATGAATCAATTGGGAACCCCCTCCTTAACGAATTTATAGCGTATTGACCGTATTGATTTAGGCCCCCTCCCCTCACCTTGAGACACACGCATGGCAAACATTTTTTGAATGGGTGGAATTGTCAGCTTAGCGACACAAAGGTTGTTCCAGATTAGGATTAGGGTTCGAGCATTTCCGCACAAGTCTTATTGGTGCGCTGGGGCGTTAGAGAGTACACCATTGCCTCCATTGATAGTAATTCTCTAGCAGATAGTGGTGGAGTGAGCAAAGTCTGTTCTCTTGCTGCCGCTCTTGCCTCTCAAATTTCTTTTCATACGTGCGTGCGGGGGCAGTCAGAGCATTTGATGCTTGAGATGCACAGCAAAACTTCCAAGTATAGATAGATGCTGAGTCTTTCAAAGGGATTCACCTTTCTATTTCTAGGTCTCTTTCTACAACCGTGGGCATCCGAGGTTTGTGCGGCTCTTGCATGGGTATGTCGACCAACTGAGCCTCAACACGCTCACGGTGGCAGCAGTTGGTGGTCAATTGGTGACCGCTGTGCAGGCCTTGACCTCCATCCAACATCTGCGTGTGGAATGGGTCCAACCGGTTCAAAGACTGATCCGCTTGTCAAAACTTGTCGCATTTGACTTGGACGTGGTGAAAATATCCTGCATCTATGGCGAGGATAGTCCCACCTTGAAGTTGGTTGGGAAACTCTCCATCTTCCCGCTGTTTGTAGGGCTTCTTGGCATAGCTTGGTGCTTTCGGAAGCTGCAAGGCCGACGCCAGCCAGCCATGCTGAATGATGATACTTTCAACCTATGTGGAACTCTGGTATTTGCACTCTTTATCTCTGTAACCTTGGCTCTGCTGGACCCTTTTCAATGTGTGGCTAACCCCGATGGATCCAGCTCGATGTTGTCAAACCCAGGCATTCTTTGCTTCAACTCGGGGGAGCACACCATTTTACTCCTTCTTTCCAGCCTTGGAATCCTCGCTTACCCTGTGTCCATCCTCGCTTGGACCACATACACCATACTTATGTACCCCTCCAGAGTGAAATCAGGTGTTGGGCTGCAATTGGTGTATCGCCATCATTTTGTCTTCCAGCGATTCAGACCAGAACGCTACTACTATGGCTTGCTGCTGCTCATTCGAAATGCTTTGCTGGCGGTGCTGCCAGTGATGCTTACCACCGTCCCTGAAGTTCAGGGAGAGATCATGGGGGCGCTTTTGCTGACCAGTGCTGCAGTACAAGCTCGGCTCTGGCCATGGCGTGCAGATGTGGCCAATTACACTGACCTCATGATTACATCTTTGCTTCAAATCTTGCTACTTGGAATTTCGCCCTTGATCCACCGGGACAGAGCCAGATCAATTCAAATGCTGGGCTGGTTGCTGGCCTTTGCCGTGTTGAGCCCATTCCTTTGTGGTCTCATCGTCCTAAGCTACGCTTTGTGGGGCTACGTCCGGCCACCAATCCCCTTCGGAATCTTCTTGTGCTATGACAAGGGAAGTGCTGGCAGCCTTTGTCGTCTTCTGAAGCTCTTGATTTCTGCACACAGCGATGCCGGCATTTTTTTGGACGTCGACCAGCTCGACGACTTGGATTCCATCTTCGATGTGATCCGAGTCAAAACCAAGAGCGTGGTGGTTGTCCTCACACCCGATTTCCTCAAGCAGTTGTGGTGTGCCGGTGAAGTGGTGACTGCCCTGAAAAACAGGGTCCGAATCGTGCCTGTGAAGTGTGATGACTATGTCCCACCCACGGATGAGATGCTTCAGAAGCTGGGGGACCATTGGACGCCAGAGCAGAAACAAATTTTGGCCTTCCATGGGATCGGCCTTAGAGATGTGCAGAGAGCTCAAGGGTGGTTGCATCAACTGCCAAGCCTGCACTTGTCTCGCTACGGGTCTCAAGAGCAACTCGAAGCGGTGGTTTTAGAGATGCTTCAGCTGAGCCAGGTTTCCACGAAACTCTTTGGTCCAAGTTCGGAAGGTGAGAGGGGAGGATACCGCAAAGCGCGCATCCTCATTACGGGCTTGGTGACTGATGCCGAGGCACTAGCAACCTTGAAAGTGTTCCAAATCTTGGTGTTGAGGCACATGCGCAAAGAATGCGTTGTGGTTCACTCATACCGGGAATTGATGGCATATAGACCATGGTCCTACTATTTAGTGGTGCTTTTGGCCAAAGGCCTGCTGCGGGATCCCAGATGCTCGGCTGCATTCAGAAGCTCAACAACAGTGATTTCGTCTAAACCTAAATCTGTGGACGATAGAGGAACGTCGACCTACGGCGATTCGGTTCTCCGATTGTCGTGGTGTGGACGTCGCTGGCCCTTGCAGGTTTTGCAAAGATCTTGCTCAGCCTATACCTGGAAACGGAAGAAAAGATGGACCGACAGTTGGAGATCATCACTGTGAACGCTGACGAGAACTTCGAATTTCCCAGTGTGGAGTTCTTGAATGAGTTGGAGAATGGGCTTGGAAGGGAGCTAGGCATCGGCTTGGAACTTGGCGTGTACCTCTCTGCAGCCTATCGCTCCTTGCTGAATGTTTTGGCTCTTCCTTTGTCACCTTTGGGGTCCGAGAGGCTTCTGGAGCAGCAGGTCTTGGAAATTTGCCGCCGCTTCCGCCGCTACAAGAACCTGGTGTTCTCGCTGGCGTTGGACGACCAGGACGATTTGCAAGTGGAGGGTGATGGCGTATCTCCGCAGGAGCTGGCTTCACGGCTGGCAGACATTGGTGGTGACTCGATGGACATTTTTACTTCTTCCCAGGTCAAGAAACAATTCTTCTCGACCATGAGGCAGTTGACCTGGACAGAGGCAGGCAACGTGGTCTTCGAAGGAAATGAAGTGGCCTTGGAGAGCAATCTCTTCGGGCGGCTGGTGTCAGATGAAGGAGAACGAAGTTCTTCAGGAGAGGGCGACTTCCATGAAGGTCATTGGAGTCCTGATTGGCCGAAGTCAAAGCTTCAGCTTGCCATCCGAGAAGAGTTGGAAGGGTCCATGGCTGATGCGTGGAATCCGGACTGGCCAATTGAAAGGGTACGGAAGATCTGAGCTTGAGTTGGCTTTCCAGTTTCGTGAATGCAAAAGAACTGACACATCGACACATCGACACAGTTTAAAGTGGGAAGCTGCAGTCTCTCGAGTTGAAGAGTCGCTTTTTGAATCTTTGTTCATCAATGTGAATGTACCTGCTCCATCCTGTTCCTGAAAACATGTTGCGGCTCGGAACATGTGGCGGCTTGTAGCAGCTACAGGTCAGCTCCACTACTGCACACCCTGCTAGCTCATGACCTGGCATCATTCGTGTAGAGCACTTTCGCCGGGAATTCGTTGGGAGACTGCCAGTGTGCCAAACTTGCAAACGCCTTGTGTAGTATTTGATCGCGATTCAGAATCGGATTTTGGGACATCAGCTCAGATGGGGAGACTCAAAACGGCAACAATAAGAACATCAAGCTAGTACTAGCCTTGACGGACACTGGTTGGTAGCGATGGCGGACGAGCGGGACCCTGATGTCGAGTACGTCCTTTTGAACAAGCATCCTGTCAAGAAATGGTGCTTCTTCAGGCTCCGACATAGATGCAGCACAACAATAAACTGGTACCTGCCCATGCACATCAGACATGTGAGCTAAATGTAGGCACCTTTTCACGTGGCTCACATGAGGGGTCAGAACAGTAGTTTTCGCTGCCACTGAGGCGAGACGCCAAAGTCTACAAGGCGTGACTGCTGTGCCGAAATGGCAGCTGTGTAAACGATGGAGATGGAAGCTGGCGCATAGCCAGGGTCGGAAGTGGTAGGCCAAGGATGCGAAGTTGGTCTTTCTGAAAGTGCAGCTTCACTTGAATAGGCTGCTTGGTCAATGTGCTCAGTGGTAAGAATCTGTACTTCTCCTGCCTGCGCTGCCTGCATGCAGGTGCCGCCAGCCGCATCGGCATCCGGCCACAAAGCTTCAGATTGGCAGGACAGAGACCCGCGGAGCGAAATCCGCAGAGGTCCCCATGTCCCCCTGTCACCCTTTTGCTTGTCCCTTCAAGCATGAGATCTTTGCCTTCCCAAGTATCAGCTAGGAAAAGAAGTGGAGTGAGATCAGTTGCTGTGATTTCCCAGTTTCTTTTTCGACCAATTTCTTTCTGGCTTTGGGCTGTACCATGTCATATCACCAGCAATGCATTTTCATTAGCAGGGACCTGGAAGAAAATCGGCAGGAAGCGATCTGGCGAGGAAACCTTCGCATCGTCGCTCGAGGAACAGAGTTGTCCATCCGTGCTCTGGCTGCAGACGACGTGGGACAGTAGCAGATCGGCCCACCGGTTTGATCCGTTTGGACTGTCCTGCGACACAAAGGAGGTGGCAATTGCGAAATTTTACATCATAACCTCAGAAGGACGTGTGGGTACCACCTCCTTGGTCTCATGTTCTTTCTTCTGTCAGTGCCGTTCCATGAATTTGATGTTTCGGTCATGTTTGCTGCAGGTTTGCTGGACAGCAGTTCCGGCAACTTGTTCGCGCAGTGTGTTCCTTGGTTGGACATGGCATTGGCTGTTGCAAACCTTTTAGGGATGACGGGGATCAGAAAAGAATAGAAAAGGTCATTGAGCTTCCGCCCACCACTGCGAGGGAGGACAAAGGTTCCTGAAATGCATTGGTCGGAATGCCAAGTGCTTCAACAGACATCTTCGTAAGAACTCACTGGAGCACTCCCCAGGACACTCTCCGCGGAAGCCCTCAACCCTCACACTGATAAGAACAGATACTACACTTGATCATAGCCAAAAGGCCGAAAAGGTATGATTGTCCTCGCCTCCTGGCCTCTTCATCTGAGACTATGTTAGCCAGCCTTGACCAACCAACAGGCCGCAAGTAACAAAAGAATCAGCTGCGCACAGCTGATGGAGGCAGGTAGCCTTACAGGGTTTGCCTCTTCAGGTCATTCCAGATGGCTTGTATGAGCACTATGTGGAGCGCGTGGTGGACTCGAGTCGGTACTGGGTTCTCAAGATCGCGGGGGCCCCCGGTCCGCGGGTGGGACGTTGGGGCGGAAGGGCCGGGCCGGGGGTTCTTCCAGCTGCCTGTGGACGTCTAAAGGGAACACGAAGCGAACTCGTTTTGGGGATCCCCAAAGATCAGAGTCCGAAGACCCTCCAAGCACCTCCCTATCTCCATGCACACATCCATGTGCAATGAACCGTAGGAACAGCCACAGCATGCTTATCCATCATGGTTCCGGTTCAAAGCCTGGTGCATACCCAAGAACAGTTGTTTCAAGCACTACACCGGTCCCTTGACTGTGCGCCTCCAGCCCGTCCCCTCCAAAAGACATGTTGTTCCGCATGAGATCGTGATGCCAATCCACTGGCCTTGCTTTCTTGGCCTCCTCCAAGGGTTCGAAGGGTCTGGGGGGGGTGCTCTTCCAATGCCAAAGACCGGGCAAGACCGGGTCCGCGCGTGCGCCGCGTGCGGCACACCACCACGCCGAGCAGGTGAATGGTCCGCGGCACGCCTTCATCGGCTTTGGCTTCAGCGAGCGCGCGGCCCTCGAAAGCCAGCCGTTTGGTCAGACCAACATTGACCCAGAGACTGCACCAACGATCTCAGATTGGCACCTCCTCGTTTCTTCCAAGACGGCACTGCTTCTCAAACCGACCGAGGGAATGATGCGTTTGATTTTAATGCTTGCCTGGCCGATTTCAAGGTGCTTGTGGGAAGGTGTTAGCGAGAACATGGAGAAACCACGGAAAGCATCAAACAACAATTCTTATTGGAAGATGGACCGAGCACTGCAGCTGGGTGAGTTCTTTTTTGGTTTTGTTTTTTTGATAGAGAAGGGGTGTTGGGTGTTTTCCCTGGGGTGGTGAGGGAGATGTCAATCTGCTAGCACTTAGAATGCTATCCACAAATAGTGTCGTCGATTATAAAGCCATATGAGGAGGTTATATATTATATTCCAAATAGGGGGGGTATGAATCAAAGGTGATCATTGTATACGTATATATCATATAGAGTTTTAAAGATTTAGAACGGTGGATAGGCGTATAGCCTATTTTGGCCACCGCCTCGACCGGCTTCGCCCATCGATCCTGCTGCAAGGCCACATTCATTGACAAGGTCCATGAAGCCAAAGCAGCGGAAGCAATGCCCACGAGCCTTTGATGCAGGGGTCGGATAGAACATGGGGTTCGTCTCAAAATGAGGGGGGGGTCCCAGGAAGAAATGGCACGCATATGGTCCCTTCATTTTCACTTCAAGTAAGCTTCCACATCCAAGTCTTGGACTGTTCTCCGTCGGTCACTGCAGTTGTCAACCACATTCTTGAAGAAGAGTGCGATATGCGATTCCCCCCGCTTATAATAGGACCCCAGGACCACTCAGATTTGGCATCTGCAGAGGTGGCAGGTCCAGATGCGAGAGTGCTGAATCTCTCCCATCGCCCTTGCTAAACCATGTCAGGCCTTACTTCAAAACAGCCCAGTGAGGCTGTGAGGTTGGTCAGTGGCGCCTACGTGATGAGGGGCACAGTCTGGTGGCCTTATGGTTGCCAACCGACGCCGTTGGGTGATCCGATCATCTCAGAGGCCGCCACCTGGACAACCACCCCGAATGCCCGGCTGCTGCGTGACCGGGTGGTTCAGAGTGATCGAACCCATCGTTCGGCAGCTTCACAACCAGTGGACCCGACAGCTGATGGCTGTCAGGCCGTTTTTTTTTTTTTTTGTGCTGTGTATTCATGGCCATGCTGAGGAAAGATCTATCGCTGAAGGAGGGGGAGACAATCAAGGCTGCTTTGATGACACCCTGGGGGCTGATGATTCATAAAACCTCCAGGACTGACTGGAGATGTAAAACTATTCTGGAGACCGGGCCGTTTAATTAAGTGAACATTAGTGGGGAGTGCTGTTGTTGCAAGCAGTGAGAGTGGCTTTTGGATGGGGTTTGGGGCATTTGCCGCGAGGAGGGCCACCCAAGAAATGACTTTCTGCAAATCTGGTGGGGCCAAGAACAAAGGATTTCGCTCAGAGGGGGGATGTTTATATCCAAGAGAGTCAATATGTCGGCGCTTGGTTCATGTCGGCGCTTGCTTCCCAAGGTGAGCTTACCGGGCAAGGGTGCCAGGCTCGAGCCTCACAGCTGTTGTTTCTGACGAACTGTGGTGGAACTGCAAGCGGATAAATAATTCCAGTGCAGACCTTCGTGTAGCAAGAAGCTACGAACGTAGCAACGAACAGGTCTCGCGAACCGAACGGAGCCAAGAGGACTTTTCGCTCGCTACGAGCCGTCCCCGGTCGCTCGAGCCGCTCGGTCGCCGGTGAGGCGCCGTGAGGTGAAAGCAGGGTATCCCGCTGGCTTGCTGGCGCCTCGGCCGTTCATGGCGCGCTGAAGCTGAAGCGTTTGGGTGCCTTCTTCGGCGGCCGTGGCTGGTGTGCAACAGGTTTTCGTGGTGATCCTGCCTTTGGGGTGTTGGCTTGGCGGTAGCTGGAAACAAACAGGCGACCGGCTTTTGTCCGAAGGTGGGATTTGGAAGACCATGCCTTTCAAGGGCCCTAGGGCCATGACCATCCTAAGCAATCGTTTTACGCGACATTTCCAAACTTGAAAAGACACACGGAATTCAAAAATTCAAAAATTCAAAAATTCCAAAATCCAAAAATTCTAAACCCCACAGAAAAAAATGTGCATGGGAAAACCCAAAAATTCAAAAATTCAAAAACTACTTGCCCGAACCAATAGCACAAAACCGTCCAAAAATTCAAAAATTCAAAAAGTTAACATTGTCTTTACAATCCTTAATTTTTCGCGTTTTCAGGTTTTCGATTTTTCGAGTTTTCGCATGGTTTCAGGTGCGGTAAGCGCGGAAACAGGTTTTCAAATTTTCGATTTTTTGAGTTTTCGAGTTTTCGCGTGGTTTCGGGTGCGGTAAGCGCGGAAACAGGTTTTCAAATTTTCGATTTTTTGAGTTTTCGAGTTTTCGCATGGTTTCAGGTGCGGTAAGCGCGGAAACAGGTTTTCAAATTTTCGATTTTTTGAGTTTTCGAGTTTTCGCGTGGTTTCGGGTGCGGTAAGCGCGGAAACAGGTTTTCAAATTTTCGATTTTTTGAGTTTTCGAGTTTTCGCATGGTTTCAGGTGCGGTAAGCGCGGAAACAGGTTTTCAAATTTTCGATTTTTTGAGTTTTCGAGTTTTCGCGTGGTTTCGGGTGCGGTAAGCGCGGAAACAGGTTTTCAAATTTTTGATTTTTTGAGTTTTCGAGTTTTCGCGTGGTTTCGAGTGTGGTAAGCGCGGAAACAGGTTTTCAAATTTTCGACTTTTCAAGTTTTTGTATAGCTTGTGGAGCCATACGCACGGACATACGTTTTCGAATTGTCGTGTTTTCAATTGTTTGGGTTTTCGCGTGGCCTGTGGGGCAATGAGCGCGGAAATTAAGTTTTCAAATTTTTGGGGTTTTGCTTTTTCGGGTTTTCTCGTGGCCCGTGAGGTAATCGACGCGGAGCCTGTGGGGCAATAATGGTGACTGTTCATTAATCAACCCCTCGGTCCCCCCCGTCCCCTCCCTCCCTCAACCATTGGATACTCTAGAATGATATGATAGAAAACAAATCCATTCATGAAAATGAAAGGAATCCACCTTCAAAATCATGAAATCCTAACGGACATCTCAAGAAATTAATAGATATTTGCAATCAAAGACCTTCAACATCATCAAGTCCTAATGGAAATCTCAAAATTCAATAGAAATACTTTCAGCGAACATTGTAGGTTGTATGGTGGACACTTCTTTGGATTTTTGGAAAAGAAAACACAAAGGAGAAAATCATTTTCAAGAGAGCTGCAATCCAAGAAGCTCCGAATCTCTAGACATTATTCTGGCCCCCCCCCCAAAAAAAAATCACCCAGAAACTTGCTTGGTGGACTACCCCCTTTGCTGATATGATTTTTCAATATTTTTAATAATGGATTTTGTAAAGAAAGTGCGCGCAGACTTTTCAATGGAAATTTGCATCCAAAGACCTTCAAAATTATTAAGCCATAGAGGAAGAATAGTAATATACAAGAACAAATATTCCACAAAAAACCATCCCTCCCCCAAAAAAACACATTTTTCAGGTGACCTTTATTAATCTGCGCGAGACAAAACACATTATTCTGAAGGGGTGTTTATCAGTCACAGGTCAACATTAAGCACGGACAAAAAGTTCAAATTTTCAAGTGTTCTGATCCAGCCTGGAGCTCATCAGATTGCGAGAAGGTGTGCCTTCTTTAACTAGAAAGCTTATAATAGAGTATAATATGATATGTACAGCATAGTTTGGTTTTGATACGATTTGCTTTCACGGTGATGGTCCGGGGCTATCGCTTTTTTGTATGGACATTGAGGTGACTACAGGCTGGAGGATCATTTCAGTTAAGTAGCCTTCGTAGCAATCAGAAGTTAACAATTCACATTCAGAAGTTTCCCTGACCCCAGCCAGCAAGTAGTCTTTTCCGCACGATGCTGGCTCAATGCTTCGGCGACTCAAAACGTGACTTGGTTGCCAACACTTTGCTACACGAGTCTGACAACCGTGTTGGTCTTCAGCTTCACATCCGATTTCATGAAATAGAGGGGCTTCCCCCGGATGTTCAAAAAAGTAGGACTCTTTCAGACATAGTTCAAAAAACTAGGTCTGAAAGGAATGGACCTGAACAAGTTTTCAAGGATCTGGGCGCGAGCTCCTGAGTTCAGTGCAGGCGTAATGCACACCAGGCAAGTGAGAGTGCAGCAGTAATGTGTTGTCATGTTTTGTCCTTTTGCCAAGTATAACGGGCTTCTTTGGAGTATGCCACACGCCATCCCTTGTCGATCACCCTGCTGTTTTCCAGTTCCTTGCCAACTCGTTGTGCCATGGGTGTGCAGAGAAGGAGTTGGGAGAGGACTGCTTGGCAATTAGCTGTTTGATGGGATCAATGGGAACGCGTCTAATCGCTCCAGTCGTTACCACACTTGTTAATTGGAAAGTGACACAGCTTGAAGACTTTCCATTTTTGGAAGTGAAAGATCCCCATCCCCACATCCATTTCCATTTGCCATGTAACACCTTGAGGATGCTGATAGCCACATCCTGCAGCAACGTCCAAAACCTTGGACACGTGCATGGACTGTCTCGGTTTGTCACTGTTCTTCTTTTTTTCAACCTCTGCCTTTTGAACATGACTTGGGACCACGGAAGGCCCACAGAACCGGACAGAATTGAAGCCATGCTTCTGCTGGGTAGCTGTTCTACAGTATGGCCTCTTACTCCAGATTCAGATGTTCTTGCATTCAGGAGACGTGGTCGCAAACGAGGCCTTTATGTTCATAGAGCCAGCTTTGGAGGCCTGAGCGCAAAGGATGTAATACTAAGCGCGAAGGAGCCCGGCTCCAGATCGGCCTGCTCTTGCAGGTATCGGTCGTTTTGCGAATCGTTGTCATGTTTATTTTTTCAGTGGCTTCCTCATGGCACTCGGTCGTGAAAGGCCGTTGAACGTGTGCTTATCCATTTAGTGCGAGGACAGCGTGGGACCTGAGTCCTGCTCAAACACAGCCGGGGGTAACACAGAACGTAACTTAAGACCTTCATCGGGTGTCCTTTGGTTTCCCTTCATCAGCAAGCAGGTTCCGGTATATAGAGTAGCATTGTTTAGACAGGTGATCACAGGCATCAATATTACTGCAAACAAGGCCTTTTTGCCTTGGAAAGGGTGGTAAGCTTCTTCTTGAGAGGAAAAGAAAGGGTGACTCTTCAGTTAAGGGCAATCATTGGGGCCTGTGGAGATATAGGGCTGGTTGCCAAGCATGTTTGCCAAACATTACAACTCTTTTCACGAGAGTCACACCCAGGTGTGTTGCCGAGTGACTGTTCCAGTCCGGGGTGCCGCTGCAGGCCCGCAGCTCGCGTGGGAGGTTGGAGGGTCCTGCTGGTGATACGGTTTTTGATCTCTGCTCTGGAGATATGCTCCGGCTCGAAGTCACCAACGTCAGAAAAGCCCTTCCGTCAAGCACACCGCTTCAAGTGAGTTGACGTCCTGATAATGACATCGAGACCAGTGGATCCAAAGAGCTTCTCGAAACATGTTTAACACTACCTGCTTCTCGAAACATGTTTAACACTACCTGTTTAGGCAGCACTTCCGTTACGGCATGTCAATGTGGGAATGTGAGTACGTTGGGCTGGCGCGCCAGTGCCTTCCCAACAAGGAATGCTTCGCCCGTGGGAACACGTGGAAGTTTCAGTTGAATCCGGACGCCCGCAACTTTGCCAGAGATCGGGACCGCCACCTCCAAGCTCATGAAAACCATGAGAGTCAGAAGGCGGACTTGGAGGAAGCTGTGCGGCGGGTCAGGCGTTGCGAAGATGGTTTCTCCTGCTCCTGCGGATTCACGCATTCCCAGCTTTCCCGGGTTCTCAACCACACTTGCAAGCCCACGGAAGGCAAGCTGGCTCTACCGTGTCGAAGCAGCTTGCAGAAGTTTCACCCTTATTTTCATCCCCTGACCAATTGTGGGCCTGAGCACCAACCCAAGGTCCAGGAGCACATCCCTATCGCTGAGGCTGCTGCTCGGTCCAGGGATGAGGCCAAACTTCTTTCAATGGTGAGCGTCGGCAGTTTGTGCAACGTGGCAAAGCTGCCTCAGCTGCACACTGCGCAGAGACCTCTGCAGCAAGGTGATTTCTTTCCACACCCGCGGAGGCAGACATCTTTTTGCTGTGTTTGGTCTCAGCCTCAACAGGGTGAAACATTGGTGAGAGATTTTGACCGCTACCCGAAGAGAGGGGGCTGCTGCTCACAGCACAAAGATGGTGGAGGATGCTGGCGAATGTCTAGTAACGACCCTTACCCCTGCATTTTGCCGGATATCGCGGTGACTTTGCCTCTTCTGGTGGCCCGGCCAGTCGAATCTTCAAAGTCACCACATGTGCTAGATCGTTGCTTTCAAAAGTGTCGCGTTGCTTCTGACGCGCCCTTCGTCAACTTGGCCGATTGGGCTGCGCGTGTGCACGCTTTTGCGGAAAACTCCCTAGCAAACCTGCCAACGGATGACACATCTTTGACCCTTGCAGGCCATGCCAAGGAGATTTTTGAAGATATAGCGTGTGCTGAGCTGGCCTACTGCGAGCTGCCTTTGCGCTGCCCCCAAGGAGATGACAGTGTGCTTTGCCACATTCGGCGCTGTGGGAAGCGGAACGCTGGCAAATATGTTTCCTCCCAAGGAGTGCGACTTGTGCCTTTTTGAGATTTATGCTCCATTTTTTTGGGGGGGTCACGAAGCTGCGAAGCTTATCACATAGTTTGTGTTTCCATGACGCAACACCGCTCCTTAACCTGATTGTCGAGG